AGGTAGAACAAGGTAAGAATTAAAACTTACCTTGTTTGGGAAGGAAATTGAGATAGGTAAATGGAGGGGTGAAGGAAGGTTGTGTAACCTCGTAATAGTTAAAAATAGGTGTTCGCCGATTCTGCGGGAAACCTAGGTAAAGTTTAGGCCCTCCTCCTCCTCCTTCTTCTTCGGATCTCACTTATCTATCCATTCCGCCCTTCATCTCCCATCACCGATCTTCATCTCAAGTACGATTTTTTATTTTTTATTTTGCTAATTATTGAAGGTAGGTTTTTTTTTCCCTGTTTTTTTCAGTTTTCTTTTTTCCGTTTATTTTTTGCAATTTTTTCTGTATTTTTTTCTGATTGTTATTTGTGATTTTTTATACGTTTATATGTTTTTTTTCTAAATTTTTTGTTGTTTGTGGAATTGATGTAAAAAAAATTGTATCTTTTTTGCTATTCGTTGAAGTAGAACCTTTAGTCATGAATACTCAAACCTTCAATTAGCTTCTTTGTCTCATAAAAGCTTTCGACCAATGTGTTTTACTCTAGATGAGCATCTTTAAATAAATAAAAAATTATGTCGTAACATCTCTCTCATACCATATAGTCTAATTTTATATTTAGCCGACGTATAATTATAGACAATTGAGACATTTTAGAACACCCAGACCATAAATTCTTAGTAGCAGCTCGCAACATGTCAAAGAACTTATTGGTTGGATTCAGTTATTTTTCAAAATTAAAATTACAAGCAGACGGGCGAACAATGTCATACACCATGTTCAAATATTGATCTCAAGTAGTAGATTTGAGCAAGAATATTTGTTGTTTTGCACCGAAAAGAGACTTTCTATTGATTAGACAAAACGTTATTGGCATGGTTTTAACTGTGATACACCCACTCATAATATGTAGGCTTTGAGATTGTATTGGAGGATGTGCTCTGTTATGGTTTTATTGGTTTATGTATTTTGGTACTTCAGTCTCTTACATGTCGTACATAAACATCACATATCATTATCCAGCTTATGAACATTTGCATTTGATGGACAATACTATACAATCTCCATTGTCCACGTACCCATTCTTGACTAACAACACCAAAATATTCAAACTTTTTATACATTCATTGACATTCATCAAATACACTCATTAGCCTAGATTTGACTGGTATTATGAACACTAAACAACAGTCTCTTGTTTTTCAGCTAAGGTCGAGTATCGCGCCATGTCTAATGCTTTGGCCGTCTATGGTGTAACCGTTCCAAAGCTGTATTATGATAATAAATCTGCACTCTTTATGGCGGCCAACCTTGTCTTCCATTAACGTTCCAATTAAGCATATTGATATAGCTAGTGTGTCATATTGTTCATGAACATTTTCAGTTTTAGCACATTGTTACTACTTATGTTTCTACCTGATTTCAGATCGTATATATTTTTACCATCCAAGGCATTAACGGATCCTTTATATCAGTTCTTATTGTCCAAGTTAGAGATTTATGATCTTCATGCTCTATTTTGAGGGAGAGTATTGAAGCATATTTTATCATTTAGTATTCATATGTAATTATGTATTTAGTTATTGGGCCAACGTGCAATTGGAACTCGTATATTCTTGTAAATATACTTCGTTGGAGATTAATCAAAGCAATTTAGTTCCAAATTCTACAAAAACTAACTAGCACAATCACTAGTAATTATTGGAAGAAACTGTTAGAATGTCATCCCACATCAGAAGTTTAAGAACAAAATAATCGGTATATAAGCTCTTGATTGAGTTGAACTAACTAAACGATTGGATTCAATCTTATACCCCAATCCAGTCGTCCATACCCATCCTAAAATTTTATCATGGTATCAGAACAGGTTTTGGTCCACCTCGTTTGTCAAGGTGTCCCGTCTAGACGTTCATTCCTAGCGGCCTGTTTGTCTTTAGCCTAATTGCCCGTATGGAGTATGTACCCAACGGCCTAGGGCATGTTTAACACGATTGCTTGTCTGGATGCCCATACCCAGCGGCTCGTGGTCCTTTATGTGTTGGTGCTAAAAAAAGTCAAAGGAATGAGAGTTCATTTGCAAGTGGTCAACCGGTTAGATTCAAAATGGCCTGGTTGTCCACTTGAGGGGGAGTTTTAGAGTGTCATCCCACATCGGAAGTTCAAGAGCAAAATAATCGGTATATAAGCTCTTGAGTTGAACTAACTAAACGATTGGATTCAATCTTTTAATGTGGTTCAGCCCAAGTATCTTATTACCCAATCCAGTTATCCATACCCCATCCTAAATTCTATAAGAAACAATTGAAACTAAACATGTTAAAAATTAATATAACCTTTATCACCCCAAATATTAATTGAATTTCATGTTTTTATTCTAAAGTATAGGGTAACAGATCACTGCACCTTGACAATGTGTGACTATATATTGTATTTCATAGTATTTTTTAGTATTATATATTGACATTATTAGTATTATAAGTCATATCTTAGGGATGAAAATATGAAAGCTTATTTTGATTTTTACTACCTCCGTCCCAAATTGGATACCACTGTTATAAACAAATACTGGGAATAAAAATTAATAATCCGAACTTATAAAACATTCGCATTTTACAACGGAAATAAAATGAAGAAAATAGGAATCTTCGGAAGCTCGAATACGAACGGACAGGAACAAGAACACAAACGGGCTGGAGGAAGAACACGAATAGGACAAGCAAGAACACGAACATCAGAGGCGGCAGGGGGTCGCTGGAGCAGTTTCTCGAAGTGGAGATTAGGAAAGCGGAGTCGCTGGAGCTTTGCTTAAGGTAGTATATATTGCCCGCCTCCCTCGGATGCATTCATGCTTAGTTCCCATCACTTTTTTATTAACGAAATGTGCACGCGTGTTATATTCGATCTCGTAAAAAATAGCCACGCAACGTCCCGCTATGCAGCGCGCGTGCCGAGCCGGACGGGCGGCGGCGGCGTGCAAGGAGTCCTTTCTTTTTCCTTTCATAAACTCAATTAAATGCTTAAGTTTAAATATGAGAATACGAAAGGTTCAAGAACTGGTGTGAGACAAGAGTTTTTACTCTTTCCACGTGTTCGACTTTGTGAATTAATTTCTCATTCACCCGAGCACTATTTTTGGCGTGTAATATATCGAAGCACTAATATCACTTACGAGATTAATTGTCCTCAATTATTTTTGGAAAATAATTTTGTGGACCATACCGAATTTATGTCCAAAAATGTCCTGTTTTAACTAAAATTCCAACAACCACTGTCACTATTACGGCTTTCAATAACTTTGTTTGTTTGTATATTTTTATTGATAATTTGATAAAATAAAATATTTTGATAAAGTAATTTTATGTACTTTTAAGAGGAGTAATTTATAATATTTTTTATTTGTACATTAATTTGTAATTAAAATGATTTAAAAACCGATGGTATCTTACACGTTATTTGGAGTAGTGTGGCATTTGATATGGGACGGAGGGATGATGTTTTAGACTTTACTCTTATTATTTTTATCTTTCTTTCTAAAAAAAATGAATGAGGAAATTGAAGATTAAAATAGGAATAAAATAGACTAAAATACGAATATAATAGAGAAAATAAGACATTATATATTCATGTTTTATTTCAAAGTAGGACATTATAATGCCAATAACGTTAACATAAAGTATAAAAAATAATGTGGAATGTAATGCATGTCACTCTTATTTTTGGGACAAAAGCCATGTTTTGCTCAATGATTTATTAAAAATGAAATTACTAAAACACTATTAAAAAGCTAAAATATATAGAACCGTATTTAAGAGTCCAAAAAGTAGAAAATGTGTTGGAGTGGAATGGAGTCGGCGACCATATGCTCTGCATCTCCTCTCCTCTGACACACACATTCGTATCGTATGCATGCACGGACGGACCTGTAAATTTCTACTCTACGTTATATTTTTCGCCCAGTTTTTATGGGTCCCCCGTAAAATGATCCAATAATTCGAGTTGTCAAGGCCCGTTCCTTTTCCACTCCCTCCGGCCCATCACTTGCACTAATACAATAATCAGGTACGAGATAGCATTGCGTGCTCCTTCATTTTTTTTTGAGTTAAATTGAATAATTTTTATGTATTATTAATTAGATTAGTTTCATATCAATACAAATAAATAAACTTTGATGCTTTATTAACAATTTAATTTAATGTAATTATTCATGTTCTAGTATTTAATACTCTGTATATTTTTTTGTTTTATTGAGATACAAGTTTTAAGAAGTTAAACTAGACAAACATTTTAGGCGAGATATAATATTTTGTAGGATTTGATCTCTGCAAATGGAAGATAAGGGGTACTCACTCAGTTTCATTTTACATTACAGAGTTTAACTAGATGTTTTTCTAATGAGGTAAAACTTGTACAACTAATAATATCTCTATCCTAAAGTATTTGTCTAGTTTTAAATTTTTACAGTCAACAAGAACCAATCTTTTATTGATAATTAAAAAAAATCACATTGCACGATATATGTTGGCTTTGATATCAGTCAAATCTAGACTCTTAAATAGATTGAAACTGAAAAGTTGATCGATGATTTATCCTCGAAGTGTGCAACTTAAATATCTTTCATAAAGTGAAATTTTCATTGTACGTTTTCTAGAGTATTTTGTTATAGCTCAGACGGCATAACTCAGATAGTTGAGAGGTGACTAGCGATTGCTAAAGGCCACAAAATCTAGGTTTTACTTCTGGCAACAACGATAAAGAATGATTATGACTATTGATTGAATTATTTTTTGTACAAGTATAGTTTGAGGTCTAGAATTGCTTTTTTTTTCCATCAGAATGGGAGAATTAATTTTTGTTTGTGACTTGGAAGGGGAGAAGAGTGTTTAATTAATGAATTGATTAAGGATAAGAGAGGGGAGTATAATTGTGATTTGGTTGGATCGTGGTGAGTGACGAGGACAATGCGGCCGGAAATTTCCATGTAAGTTCTACAAACCGCATGATAATCCGCAAAAAATTGCTTCTCTTTTTGGTGTGTAATGTTCTTTTCGTTCTCGCTTTAGGCCTCCTCCTCAACAGTCTGGGGGTGGGGTGGGGTGGGGTGGATTGAATTGTGGAGCCCACACTGGTCCTCATCTTTGCTGGCTCCAAGCTCTCCATGGTTGGTTTTTAATGGGGTTTGTCTGCTGAGAGAGACCGGAGTTTCAGTTGGCCCAATCCAACCAACCAAATTACATAACTACCCACTCCTCCCTTCTTCTTCTTCTTCTTCTTCTTCAAATCTCTCCATCTGTAACTCTTTCTTTTTCTTCTTCTTTCAGTATATCTTCTTCTGCTGCCGATTCGATCTCTTCTGTCATCATCATATCATTATCATCTTCTCCGGTGCGTGCTTCCTACAGTGAAAGACCCAATCTCGATTTGATTCGCCCAATCCACAGATCTCATACATCTTTCGCATTCAGATCTTCTCTTTCCCATCATAAAGGTAGGATCTTTAATTCACTATTTGCGCATTTGGCATCTGGGTTTTCGTCTTCTCAATTTCAGCCCCTTTGACCCAACAGTATTATTATGTTGAAAAAGTGAATTCCTTTTTCTCCCTAGTTCCTCCCTCTTCTTCTTCCTCTTTTCTTTTTTTGAAAAATTAAAAAGAAAATAAAATGGCTGGAAGTCCCCACCCCACCCCCAACCCCCACCTTTTTGTATTGCCGTTGATTTTTTTTCACTTTCGGTTTATAGATGTTTTGCGGCTGTCTTATTCATGATTTTTTTTATGGATGAGAAGAAATTAGAAATGGGTTTTGCATCCTTGCACAGTGGAAGCAGCTGGAAGAGTTCAATTTCCTAAGCTGTAATTTTTTTTATATTTGTTTTGTTTCCAATCATTTGCAGGGTCATTGCTTGGTTTGCAGGGGAGACTGAGGGCATTCAAGCTTTGATTTTTTTCCCCTCTTCTTTTCATCTGTGAAGAGTTGTTGGATCGAGTGGTGTTTTTATATAGATGAGGCGAATCAGGAGTGTGCTTTGGGTGAGATGAGGGATGTTATCTGGGTTCATGAACCTGTTTCGGGCCTGTTTCGGGCCGAGGTCAGATCGATATGTCCGCTCCAGCTCTGACTCCGGAGGCCGTCAAGATGGGCTCTTGTGGTATAAAGACACCGGGCAGCATTTTAGTGGGGACTTTTCTATGGCAGTAGTTCAAGCCAATAATCTACTTGAAGATCAGAGCCAGCTCGAGTCCGGCTGTTTGAGCACTCATGATTCCGCGGGCCCTTTTGGCACCTTCGTTGGTGTCTACGATGGCCACGGAGGCCCCGAAACTTCTAGATTCATAAATCAACACCTTTTCCAACACCTCAAGAGTATGTTTCCATTCTCTTTAGTGGATTCCATCCAAAACTTATTTTGATCTCTTAGTTAGCTCAAGATGGCGAGCTAACTAAAGTATTGCTTCTGCGTTGAAGTTTCAGTGTAATCCATAGAGATGATCATATTTCAAATAAAAATCTGCTTTTGTAGTGTTTCATATGATAATAACTCCACGAACATATGAATATAGTAAGGAGCTTTTCCGGTGGCCTTTGTTTTCAACTTTTAAACCCATTTCACAAGCTATAATTGGCTGTGAATGGTATATATGTGGTTAGAGGTCATAGTTGTTTTCACTGAAATGGAAAAGATTGGCATCTCTACCTCTTTTAGTAACTTATTTTCTTTAAAAATATATTTTCTTTACAAGAAAAAAAACCCTCTTTTTAGATAAAAACACACTTATTTCTTGAGGTGGTGTCAAAAGTGGTTTCTTTCTTGCAGGGTTCAGTTCTGATGCACAAACAATGTCAGCAGACGTGATCCGGAAGGCATTTCAAGCAACAGAAGAGGGATTCACCTCTGTGGTGGCCAACCAATGGCCAATGAAACCTCAGATTGCGGCTGTTGGGTCGTGCTGCCTTGTTGGAGTTGTCTGCAACGGCACTCTATACATCGCCAACCTTGGGGACTCCCGTGCCGTTTTGGGGAGAATTGTCAAGGCAACCGGAGACGCGGTTGCTGTTCAGCTCTCTGAAGAACACAATGCAAATCTTGCGCCCGTGAGACAAGAGCTGCAATCTTTGCACCCCGAGGATTCCCAAATCGTGGTTTTGAAGCACAATGTTTGGCGTGTCAAGGGAATCATACAGGTGAATTTTTCATTGATTTGCTGAGGATCTTGTCCCACGTTGTAAACTCAGGCTGAAAAAGAAATTGGTCTTGGGTTGGAATCTCATATGTTTCATTCATTGGCCATATTTTTAACAAAAAATGCTAAAGCCCACGAGGTTTGACCCCAAGTGTTTCACAAACATGTACAGACGCTCTCTCTGTCTCCACACTCCAGAAAACTAGTGTCTGTGAAATGCTTGGTATCAAACTCTTGGTGTCAAATTTGGTGGTTTTCTAGCATGAGCCTATTTTTAACATAAGAAATGGATGGGTCCTTTTTAACCAAACATGATATATCTTGTGATGCAGGTCTCGAGATCAATTGGCGACGTATACTTGAAGAAAGCAGAGTACAACAGGGAACCACTGTATGCCAAGTTTCGCGTCCGGGAACCATTCAAAAAGCCCTTTCTCAGCGCGGATCCGTCTATTTCTACGCACCAATTGGAACCGCACGATCAATTCATCATATTTGCCTCCGACGGTCTTTGGGAGCACCTTAGTAATCAAGAAGCCGTCAATATTGTCCAAAATAACCCACGCAACGTAAGATAGTATCCCTTAAATGCCACATTCTTTTCAAACTCTAGTACATGAAGAAAGCAGAGTGGAACAAGAAAAGAAGAGGGAGAAACTGAAGTACTTGGCCTTAACACCGTTTTTTTGTTTTGTTTCCCTTGAAATGTAGGGGATAGCGAGAAGGTTAGTGAAAGCGGCATTACAAGAAGCGGCAAAGAAGAGGGAAATGCGGTACTCGGACTTGAAGAAAATAGAGAGGGGAGTGCGTCGTCATTTCCACGATGACATCACCGTGATTGTCGTTTTCCTAGACTCGAACCTTGCGGGCAAGTCGGGCAGCTCAGTCAAGGGTTTTAGTAACAACCTCTCTGTGAAGGGAGGGGGTGTCCACCTGCCCTCAAACACTCTTGCTCCTTGTGCCATGCCAGCCTAGTTTAAGCTCTCTCTCTCTCATTTTCTTTCTCTCATGTGAAATGTCATTAGTACCCTTGTAATGTTTGTTGTACTATTTTTTTACCTTCCCATATTCTCCTCTGCTTTTTACTACTACTACTACAAGTAATATATAAGTATATGATGATATATGATCTCTCAGCTGTTTTATGTACACTGTAACCTTTTGACACCAACTAATCGTTCTTCTTCTTTTTTTGTTCTTGGGAAGTTTAGAAGAAAAAAAAAAGACTGATTATAATCTCATATGAACCGCGATTCAAAATTTAAAAATATCTTCGGATAAAACGGATGCGGATTGTTCCTGTTTAAACAGATACGGATGCGTACGGCAATCGAATTTTCGGTTATCCATTGACAGCTCTACATGCTAGGTGTACGTCATCTTGTAGCCCTAAAGCTTTGCAGTAACACTTTGATGACATACACTTTGTATAAAATGCTAGCGCGAAATTTTTTGACTGTGCAGATATTTTGTGGAGTGTAAATCATCAGAGTATCAGTGTAAAACTTAGAGGTACAAACTGGTGTACACCTAGCTTTATTCTTCATTTAATTTTTAAACAAATGTTGTATTACTTAAATTTAGTAGGGAAAGGAAAGTTGAGGGAATGCTCGTTTGATAATTGATATTTACAGTCAACCTTTTTTAATATATCCACAATTGTAAAATCACTATTGAAGTGAAAAGGAAGAATTGTGATTTTGTAGTGTAAATATTAAAAAAGTAAAAATGCAGATATCAATTTTCAGGTAATTGATATTTGCACCAACTTTTTTCCCCTATCAATTCCCACTAATGGATTTGGGGTCCTTTTTAAATCAAAGTTGGTTCCTCTCTTCTCTTTTTGGACAAAAATGAGGATGGGATTGAGTGTTAATGGAAACAGCCTTTTTTGGTGGGTCTATTTGGTTTCAAACAAGTGTGGAACCAATGTTCACCTTTTAAAAAACTTCACATTTTCAAAGCATTCCATCATCATTTTTATTCAAAAAAAAGTTGTTTTTTCTGGTACAGAAAAAAAAAGTTTAGATGACAACCATAGATACTTTTTGCACAGACACCATTATAATCCTACACAATAATACCAAAAGGCTAATTAAGTAAAGTTACATTGATACCCTTCAAAAAAAGTGAACTGTTTGAGTAAAACTTCACAATGCAAATCCTAAAAGGGAAGAAACATCATTTCACATAGAAAAATGAAAACTGCATCATACACAAGACACAAGAGGCAGCCTCTCAAGGCATGTTTTTTAAGGTTCCTGAAACCCTTTGTAAGAAAAAACAAATGCTAGTAAAAGGACAAGAACTTTTTCACAAGCGCGAATACGCCAACCGTGTAGAGAGCCTCACTCATTTTGTTCGTTGAACGGAAAATCTGCTCGAACAACAAAAAAAACACCGCAAAAATAAAAAACGATGGCATAGCCAAAATGAGGAAATATGGGAAAGGTTAGGGAGTAAGAGAATAAAATACCTGATCCATCTTTTCCTCTCACTGTACACCAGACATGGCTGCAAAACCATTCCCATGAGCAAAGCCAAGAGGCTGATGGCCAAGACTTTGTAGGACGCTAGTCCTAGCACCACAAGGATACACACTGTTGGAGGTATACACATCAAGATTGACCCTTTTGTCCCCAATGGTATCTTGTAAGGCCTAGAAGCTGCCGGGTACTTCATCCGTAGCTTCACAAAGGCCACAAACTCCATTATCATCCCACAACAGTATAGGAAGTTCTCTGCCGCGACTATTTCTTGGAAGCTTAGCCATGACAACAGAAGAACTCCCGACGCAGAGAACAGAATCCCCACGACGGGTGTCCCGTGGCGGGACCTCTTGGCAAACACTTCAGGAAGCATCCCGAGCTCTGCCATCCCTAGAAGCTGGAAGGAGTCGCTGCTCATCTCGGCCAAGAACATGCCCATGTTTGACACTGCTGATGCCCCTTGGACCCACAGCCTCAGCCAAACGCCTCCGACTATATTGGCAATATCCGAAAAATACCCATCACTCCAAACGCCGCGATCAACCGGCAAGGCTCCAGTGCCTATGAGAAGGGGTAAAAAGTAGCCCGACACGACCAGGAGAAGAGCATAGAAGAGAGCCTTTGGGAGTGTCGTGGCGGGGTTCTCCACCTCGCCAGAAAGAGTGCTGATTGAGTCCCAATAGTTCAAATTCCAGAAAAGGGTATTCAAATATAAACCCCAATTCACACTGCCCATGCCCTCAAACTCAAGCCATCTAGAAGGGTCGATTCTGGGAAGTGACACTAGTCCCATAAACAAGAAAGGAAGGAGGGATAACACTCCTAACAGCACTGCCACCCATCCCACAACAGCTAAACCCCTGTAACTCAAGTAAGTGAGAACTATAGTCAAAGCAAAGGCCGCGATTGCGCGAGGGAAACCATCCGCCAAAGCTGGTAGGGCCGACTTGAGATAATCCAAAAACAGGACCGGATAAAGAGCATTGTCGATGACACCACTTAGCCATTTCATCCAACCTTGTTGGAACCCCCAATAAGGACCCAAAGCTGAGGTTACCCAGACAACATATCCTCCGTTCTCGGGGAACATGGTTCCCATCTCAGCTGTTATTAAGGCTTCTGGGATGCTCCATATAAGTGGAAAGATCAAAAAGCCAAGGAGTGCCAGAAGTGGACCGGCTGCCTGAACGCTGTCTTCAATGCCAAAAGGACCTCCCGAGACCTCGTAGAATATGAGGAAAACAAGGGGAACTATAGAGACCTTCACAGAGTTCTCTAGCATCGGAAAAACTCCTTCGTTCAAACTCGAGTATGCCTCTCTATTGTCTTCATTCATATTGTGTTGGTGTTTATTTGCAGAGATGATAAAAGTCTCTATGCTCTAAAAGAATTATTAACTAACAACTGCAAATATAATTGGCGATGAACATCAGACTTTTTTTTCAATTCATGAATGAATGGTTTAGGCAAAGTTTGGAACCAAGAAAGTGGTGGGTAAATGATAAACAAGGTTAGGAAAAAACTATTCATGTTCTTAGTTTTACCTTTTAATATATGAGGGAATACTGTTCTTATGTTTCGTTTTACCTCTGAATATATGAGAGAAAATAATAGTCCGTATTTATTTCTAAATATATACAGTAAATAAAATTAGAGCGAACAAAAATATCCATCATTGACTTATTTTCCCCCAAATTCTATTTCTTTCGAAAACCTCTCTATTTTTCACCATAAGTTTCCCCCCTAATATATTATGGGGTCCAAACAGATTCCTATAAGGTAGTGTTTGGCAACTAGCATTTCATTCATGCATTTCAATTCCAAAATTTGAAATCTTGAATTTCAAATGACAAGGAGAGGTGCATGGATTTCAAATTAAGCTTTGTTATGAATGAGATGAATTTGACTCAAATCCAAATTTAAAATTTTTAAGTTTCCCAAACATGGAATTTGAGCAAAATCCGGATTTGAAATCCAAATCCATGTTCCCAAACATACCATAAATGGAATTGAGGAATTACGTGATTAGGCGGTGTTTGGTTAATCTAGTGGTGCAGTTGAAGCTACCAGATGTGATTCCTCAACAACTTTTTCTTTACCGTTATACAAGAACTCCAAACAGAATTTCAGAATATTGACGATTAAAACACAACTAAAAACAGGAGAATTGATGGAATCTGGCCAAAGAAAGAAGGGATCGAAACCACCGTAAAGGCGCGGTCTTTAAGCTTCAAAATCTGAAAGAAGGAGAAAAAGAAATCGCAGAATGAATGTATGAAGCTGGGGTTGAAGAAGAATACCTGCAGATCGAAAGGGGCGATTGAGATACGAAATTGGGTGAATCACTGAAACCCAGAAGACGGGCGTATTGTGCGAGAAAATGAGAATGGACTCCGCGTCATCACCGCACGCTGCCACGAGTCAGTTTCTGGTTACCGGTGACCGCCGTGGTGGAGGGACTCCTCCTCCGCTTGCCAGTCTGCTACTCTCTGTACAGTTCCCACCTCGGCTTCCCCAGTGTACGGCAGCAAGTAGACGAAGTACCTACCATGGAATTGATTCAAGAATTAAGGTTTTTTTTTGAAGGAAGAATAAAGGTTGGTTTTTATAAAAGTGTCTTTAATAATTCATTTGCACACTATTAGATCATTTGGCGTGGATCATGCCTATCACTTTATTTCACTCAGAGCACTGAAAAAACCCCGAGTTTCAAATCGGGACTTCAAAATTTCTCTCACTGTCACGTCAACATAAACTTACCTCATAGATTCACTGGAAATGAGTTTGAAGCCCGGGGCTTCAAACTGTGGCTTCAAACCTTCATTTTTTACATTTTTAAATATACATCTTCTAAATTTAAATTAATAAATTTAAATTAATTTATTATTTAAATTAATCGCAATGGGACTAGTGCATTAAAAAATTACATTCATTAAAAAAATATTACATTCATAAAAAAATTACATTCATTAAAAAAACTACATTCATAAAAAATACATTCATAAAAAAATTACATTCATTAAAAAAATATTACATAAAAAAACAACACTACAAAGAAATTACTAATTATTCGAGCGACTAAAGATATGTTCGATCAAATCCGCCGTTAGTGCATTGCGAATCTCTTGGCTTCGAATTTCTTGGCAGTTTCTTTGTGATGGGTACCCTGGACAGAGGGTATCCGGTCTTTGTATAATATTAGTCGGGGTGGTCCAGTTTGTTGGATCAGCCCGTTAGTCATTTATTAATTACTTATTTAGGGCGGCCCAGCCTGTTGAGCCAGCCCATTGGTCTTTGTATGTAAACCCTAGCCCTAACTCTCCCGTTATATATACCCCTCTTCTTGGAAGAGATGGGGAGGAAGGAGCTCATTCAACACACACACCACACGTTCTAACAAGCACAGTAACACTCATATTTTACTTGACCCCAAATTTGTGCACTCTCGACTCGGTTCGATACTCTTCCGCTAGTCACCTAGGCCCTCGGGTTCCTTAACCCAACATTGGTGCTCTCGCTGAGAGTGTCGAACACATCAAGCGTGCTCTCTTCAATTTTCCTTTGATTTCTATTTTCATTTTCCTAGTTCATCATTTTTCCCCAAAATCTGGAAAATCCGAACTTACTTTCGGAGGATTTTGCGGTTCATCACTTCTCATCCACTGAACCACTCTCTGGATCTGGAATTTTTTAAGGATTTCCTTTTAAAAAATCCATGAAGAAGAAACTGGAAACTGGATCTTGGCGAGGTCACTCTTTCGCCACTTCGCCGGACGAGGTCATTGACGCCGGAGTGCAGCGCCGCTCTCAGCTCCGGAGTTCTAGACCAACGCTTCACCGAACATCACTGCGGGTAAGGTTGTCTCCATGGACGCCGGCGCACTGCTCCGTCCTAAGCCCCTGAGCACCGGCGGCGAAGCCCTAGTCCGTTCGTGTCCTCTGCGATGAGCTTCAGGTGACACTCGAATTTCCTATCCCGGCGAACGGTGCAACCGCAAGAGTTCCGATAGACAAAGGAGATTGCAGATCTAATCGGAGCCAAGATGCCGTCAAAACATCCCAATCGGAGCCACTGGTCAAATTGCAACCAGACCAAACGGAGCTCTTTCCACCGGCGAGGAATCAACGGCTCTGGGTTCCGAGTCGAATTGTACCACGAGCGAGAGTAGCGACCACGGTCAGTAAAGTTCCGACGACCCTCTCACCCCGGCGAGTGCGGAAGCGACCAGTTCCCAACGGCCGCAGCAGCAGACGGTGCAGCCGACGACGAGCAAGTCCGAATCCAGCAGCCCGGCTACGTAACCAGTCCTGGCCGGCAGCGACCCACCTCCATCCCTCCAGCAATGGTTCTCGGTGTGCAGGCCTATCAGTTGTCAATCCGAAAAGCGCGCAGGCCCCTCGATGCGCGTGACTTTTGATGGGCAAGACTACTGCTTCTGTCAAATCTGCCGGCTCTATAAAAAAGAAAGGAGCCTATTTTTTCTACAGTAGAAATATCTTGTGGGAATACGGAGTATCTTTTATGATAGGGTCCATTGATGTGTTTGCTGGACCCCACACAGAATTGGGCACTCTAACCCGTGAAGCAAGTATCAACCTTTACATCTATATAGTGGATCTCAATTATAGGCGGCGTAGTAGAAAAAAGAGATAAGTCTCTTTATCCCTGACACCATCATTTCAACTATTCCATATTTATTACTTTTACCAAATTATCAATGTCACTATTGATAATATTCACTCTATAATTATTACCATTAGGGCTGTTCAACATTAGGTCTAGACCGAAATAACTGACCGGACCGGACCGTTAGGTCCAGACCGAACCCGGACCGATTGCATTTAGGGTCGGTCTTCGGTCCTAGTATTTTAATATTTTGGGTTTCGATCCGGTCCGGTCTATACCCGAATTTATATCGGTCTAGACCGAAATAACCGATAACTCTTGCAGAGCATATTTCATCCGCTGTGCACTCTAGACTCCAAGCCTAATTTGCATCTTCTCTGATTCTCCCAGGTAGGGTTTTTTTCAATTTTATACGTAGTTTGGCACAATCTTCTCTAACTTAGATGGCTCTTCTATTTTCGTCTCCGACTCCGTCCTTCGTCTTCCATCTTCAACTATGTTCTCCGTCAGTAGATGACCATATATAGACTCCGAGTCAAGCATTTCTGCAACTCTATTCTCCACGTTTGCACTCCTGTTCAAGTATGTGAGTTCATATACTTTTCAATTAGACTTTAATTGAGAATCTGGGTATAATGATTGCTCCCTCACCTTCAATTTAGTCACTTACTTATTGCATAAAGTCTTTCGATCTTCAATTGAAAGTCAGGGCAATATTCAGTGCTTCACCAAGGAAGAATTGATAGTGGAGTAAAGGTTTGTCTCGGTCCTATTCGGTCTTAATCGGTTCGGTCTATCATATTTCGGTCCGGTCCAGTCCAAAACCGAATATATTTAGGTCCGGTCTTCGGTCTTGATTTTGCCTCAATTCGGTCTTCGGTCCGGTCCGGTTCGGTCCGGTCCGGTTCGGTCCGGTCCGGTTTTAGACCGATGAACACCCCTAATTACCATTGCCTTGTCCACCATGTGTGATCAGACCTCACCAGGACAATGATGTTACACTTTGTCTTCGACACTTTAAGCCCTGATGTGGGACGGGTGCAAAGCTTGATCTCACACCCCACACAGGCCAGCGACCTGCCTCAAGGCATGACTCAGATCCAACTCATTTAGTCATTCCTTAGCGAGGCCGGGTAAAACCTCCCTACGAGGTGTTGAAGATCGTCTACGACGATATTATCGCGAGGCCGAGGTAAGACGTCCACCGAGACGCACTCCCATCCGTCTTCCACGACGTGATCTCATTTCCTCTTCCACGAGGCTGAGGTAAGATGTCCACCACAACACACTCCCATCCGTCTTTCACGACGCGATCTTATTCCTCTTCTACGAGGCCGAGGTAAGCCCTCTCCATGAGGCACTCCAAATCGTCCGCGACGATACTATTCGCGAGGCCGAGGTAAGCCGTCCATCCTGACGCACTCCTATCTGTCTTCCACAACGTGAACTATTTGCTCTCGGATCTAAGGCGAGGGGTGCATTATTTGTGCCTATCTCACTTACCCGAGCATCTCTCATTTGAAGACCCCGGTCTCACTAAGGATGACATCAAGGTTTGTTCTAGACTAGACTACTGCACGATCGGCGCACTTCGCTGATTAGGCCTATCTTTTGTCCGAGACTTTGGACTCAACTCATACGTTGACTTATTTTTCTCGGTCGCGTGGTGATCGGTCCGCCCGAGCCTGCGATCGCCTTGTATTCTTTTTTGAACTTATTTTGCAGGTTAGAAGGATGAGAAGGCCAAGCTCGGCCTCAGCCACCGCGTGAGCCACTCAAGCTCGGCACAGCCACTCGAGCTCGGCCTCAGCCACTCGAGTTCCGCACAAGCCATTCAAGCTCGGCTTCAGCCACTCAGATCCATTCAAGCTCAGCCTCAGCCACTCAAGCTCGGCCTCAGCCACTCGAGCTCGGCACAACCATTCAAGCTTGACCTCAGCCACTTGAGCTCGGCACAGCTATTCAAGCTCGGCCTCGGCCATCTCGTGTAGGGGCCAGAGACTCCCATCGGAGCTGAGCATGGACATTACTCCCCTTCTCCTCAGAATTCTTCCTCTGGTTAGGGAGTGGGGTACTTCGGGTGCTCGGCTCATATTTATTACAGGAGAGATTCGTGATCGACATCCTAACTTTGTATCAGATTGCAACAGTACGCGTGCACCTACACTCGTTAGCATTACATTACGTCGAACAGCCCTCGACTCCGGACAACGAGTCCGGGGGACTTCAAGATCACCTCTTCTGAGATTCACACAGAAGACCTCACACCCTAGCAATGTTTTCTTGATCCACTCTGTGGAACGAGATGTACTCTTTTCTTGACCGAGGATTTTTTCCCATGCTCATGGGTTTTTTCCTCGACAAGTTTTTAATGAGGCATCCCCCATGGAGTGGGTCACACATTGACGGGATTGTGGGAGGATGTTCGAAGACGACAAACGGACTGTAGATGACGATTGATTCATCCACTCTTATGGTGATTGTACACTCTAGACAACAAGGAATACGGTGTCCTTCCGTGGTGGATTATTGTTCTACTCCCACTTCACCTCGAGTTCCTCTCGGCTCGGGAAGTAGAGGACTCATGATGGATACCCTGGACAAGGGGTATCTGGTCTTTGTATAATATTAGTCGGGGTGGTCCAGTTTGTTGGATCAGCCCGTTAGTCGTTTATTAATTACTTATTTAGGGCGGCCCAGCCTGTTGGGCCAACCCATTGGTTTTTATATGTAAACCCTAGCCCTAACTCTCACTTTATATATACCCCTCTTCTTGGAAGAGAGGGGGAGGAATGAGCTCATTCAACACACACACACCACACGTTCTAACAAGCACAATAACACTCATATTTTACTTGACCCCAAATTTGTGCACTCTCGACTCGGTTCGATACTCTTCTGCCTAGTCACCTAGGCCCCCGGATTCCTTAACCCAACACTTTGTTTTTTTTTCTTTGTTGATTTCTTCGTACATAGGCACCTCCTCGTCCAGGTTGTATTGACAAATCGCAGTCCCGTTGTCCTCTATGATCATATTTTGAAGAATAATACATGCATACATGATATTCCTCATTTTCGTTTGAGAATAACATTTCGACGGTCGATCTAGAATGTGCCATTTACCCTTCAAGACCCCAAAGGCTCGTTTAATATCTTTTCTCGCCACCTCTTGAGCTTTTTTATAGGTCTGGCGTTTAAGACTCATTGGTTCGGAGAGGGATTTGACAATCGTGGAATAATCTGAATATATTCCATCGGCCAAATAATATCCACGCTTGTAAAGCGTCCCTCTAAGCTCAAAAGACGAGTCGGGTGCGGTCTTATTAATCCAATCGTCAAAAACAGGCCATTGATGGAGAACGTTGATGTCGTTGTTCGAGCCCGTGACACCAAAAAAAGTGTGCCAAATCCACAAGTCATTTTTCCGTGCCACGCAGTGGGCTTGGGATGATCTCCCCGGGAGAATTGACCGTGCCACGTAGTGGGACAATTTTTCCATTCCCAATGCATGCAATCAATACTCCCAAACATGCCGACAAAGCCGTGTTTAACGGCATGCCTTGCGTGTAACTGCTGAATATCGCTCGTTGTAGGCTTGTGTAAATATCTTTTATGATAAATTTGAATAATAGCTTTAGAAAATTTATAAACACAGGACCTGATGCTCCGAGCCGACATCTTCAAGTATTCGTCGAACATATCAGATGCCGTCCCGTACGCCAATTGACGAAGCACAGCAGTGCACTTCTGGACACTACTAAACCCGCGTTGGCCTCTCGCATCAAAGCGTTGGGTGAACCAAGGAACCTCGCGTTCAACATCGGCGAGTATGCGTAAAAAGAAAGGACGACTCATCCGAAAACGATTACTAAAATCCTCCGGTGTATAAACACACGGATTATTAAAGTAGTCGTTTAGAAGTGAAGTGTGGGCGGCTGCTTGATCCCGGTTTAAACATTGTCGTCGGGAGGATTCAGCTTCTTCTTCTTCGCCTTCTTCCCACCATTGAATACAACTCGTGGCGAAACAACGAAAACTGAGAGCTCTTTTTTCATCGTCGGATGAAGATGATCCCATTTTTAAAATATATTTTATAACTATTTATAATAAATAATAAATATTTTAGAGAGTGTCTCTTTCGGATATATGTTATAATCGGTTCGGGTCGGTTCGGGTCGGGTCAGTTCGGTTCTGGGTTTATTTCGGTTTGACTGGTTTTCGGTTTCGGTTCGGGTTTATATCGGTTCGGGTCTGTATCGGTTCGGGTTTGTATCGGTTCGGGTTTGTATCGGTTCGGGTTTGTATCGGTTTGGGTTTGTATTGATTTGAGTTTATATCAGTTTAAATTTATATTAGTTCAAATATAATGTAAACACATACTAATAAATGAATAATATTTGGATAACAATTTGGTTCTAAATTATCACTAGAATGCTGTATTTTGTTTGTTAGATAGTGTATCCACGAAAATCAAAATTTGTGTTTTAAAAAAGCTCTTTAAGATGGTTCAATATTTTTTTACTCATTCATAATTTTTGGAGAAGAAATCTTTTATTTAGCTTATACTAGGTAATGTCAGTTAGCTGGTTTTATTCATTTACATAATCATAAGTTTTTACCACATGATTGTGACACCTTTCTTCATTTTTATGCTCAAGTATTTTTTATAGTGTGTTAATTGGCATATTAAAAAAAGAAAATCAACTTTGGTAACATA